CGGGCTAGCCGTCTAGTTGCCTGCCTCCCACTGTGCCAGGGTACGTTAGAGTGTAGATCAGCCGTGCTAGGATATATCAGCGGTGATCTCTGCCTCCCCGCGTGCAATGAGTTCGTCCGCCGACATCAGATCAGCTGTCGTGAGTGATTAACGAATTAGGCCGTGAGACATTGAAAAAATCCGCCGTTTACCGTCCAAGGCAATTTTAAAACAAGTGATTGAGGCTTTCATTATGTGTGTATTATTTAATTTTAATTTTTAGGCTGAAAGTACTGAAATACAGTGAAATACAGTACAGACAATAAACAATCTAGCCGCCCCTCTTTATTATTCATTATTTTATTTTTCAGGCTGAAAATTTTTTCATTTTTCACGTTCGGGAATTTTCGGTTTGAAGTCGTCATCTTCGGGTTTTTTCGACAAATCTTTATTCCGGCGCCCTGATATATGTCTAGCGGTTAGAAAAGTGGCATGTACAATCCGGACTGCCCCAAGCTTGTCAAAATCCATCAGAATTGCTGTTTAGGCTAAGTACACCTTGTGATTAGTCTATTAGTATTAGTATTATGTTTCAGTGAGGGAATTTTTTTCCAAATAATGAAATTTTTGGTAAATAATGACTTTTTTGGGCGGGGACTAAAGCGGCATGCGGGCGGTGGACGGTAAACCGGATTTTTCATTCTCATGGCCTAAGTGTAGTTTTGTACTTCATGCATATAAAAGTTTGTGAAAGAATAAAGAAAAGAAAAATTATTTATCGCCTTTTTGTGTTCATAAAATGTTAGGCTACAGATGTGGCTAACAGGAATCCAAATTGGCTAATGAAAAATGATTCTGGCTAATTGTTTGGCTATAGGGAAAAAAATCCTAGCTAGGGCCCTGAAACTGTCATAAACAAACAAACAAAAACATGTCAATACATACATTATCCCAGTGGTCATACTCATAACGTAGTCGTTTCATGTATGGCAATACTTCATCTAAAAAACTTGTTTCTTCTTCTGGTGTTATGAAATCGTCGATCACCATTAGCGAGTCGCCTACAAGTTTCTTCGCTTTATGGGAGGAAAATGAAATGTTCGGATAGCCATCAAGACTATTTGCAGCATCCGCAACACCTGAACAGGAAACAGTTCGATGGTTGTCGTTGCCACCACTACTACCCGATGTCTTGGTTCTTTCAATTTGATCATTAATACCAGTATTCGAGTATCCCATTAATTGTTGTAGACGTTTGTCGTTCGTTTGACATATACCAACAATATAATTTCGTATAGCAGTAGGTAAAATATTGCAAGCCTTCCTACGGATATCGCTCGACATGTGCCAGCACGGTACACGTTGCACACGCAATGCAATTACAGACATTTTGCGTTATTAGCTGATTAACATCAGGAAAAATAGGACAAAATGAGAATGACTTCTGTTTCCTAAGATTTCACAAGGGCGCTGACATGTTGGTCTTGCATTGAATTGTGGGTGGGTTTCATAGCGAGGTCCCAATAAACATCTAAATGTATGGAAATGGGTAATGGGTAAATGGAATGTGTAAAAATATGTCAAAATGTGGCGAAACGTGGATAGGAAACCTCATAACGTTATAATTAGTTGTCAACGTGGTGCTTTAGTGGGCACGTGGGTGCTTTAGTCTAGGACTGAGCATAGATATATTATATACAACACATATTGTATCAAGAGCAGATAAAGAAGGACCTTCTTTATCTGCTCTTGATTGTATATATCTATAGACTGAGGCTTGTTTCTATAAATCTATGTTTTGCCACATTGTAACAAATTACGATACGTTTCGGTACAATTCGGAGTTTAGTAGGTCCGACAAGTGCGTAGACGGGTGAACTGCAGATCTCAAACGAGTACAGAGTACAAATGTCGAGACATGGTACCTGTCTAGCAAGCACGTTGCTATGGGCAACACTTGGCGTTCTCTCCACTAACTTGCCAGTGTAGCAGTGTTTGACTGCGACGATGGCTATACCGAATGCCGCCGCCAAATATATATTTGGCGTGAAGTCATCTGTTGTGAATAATATTGCCTTCCATGATGAGCAAACCCTTGTGTACCCGGCAGGATCTTATGTTGTCTTATTTAATGTCGACCAGAAACAACAAAAGTAAGCAAAAATAAATACTACCCGTACCCTGTTACCATAGATTAGATATATACAATACATGTGTTGTATATATCTATGCTGTTACTGACATAATTAATGATACAGTAAAAACCCGCGTATAAGAACATCATAGATTTTAAGAACATGTTACTGTTAGGCTAAAATTTCCCATTTAGACCCCTTTACTATAAGAACCTGTTTTAGGCTAAGATTTTAAAGTAGGTTCTTAATTTTCCATGCAGTCTGCAGATGAAGAAATGCAAGAAACACAGGTAAAATAAAAAAAGACGAGCTCAACAATATCGATGCAATAACAATGCCAATGCCAATGCCAATGCCAATGCCAATGCTCAACAAATTGAACAATAACAATGCCAGCACCCTGGCATTGTTATTGAGACACAGTACTGCATTATTTACATATACATAATACAGTAAAAACCCGCATAAAAGAACACGTCGATTAAGAACACTGCGATTAGGCTGAAATGCGGTCAAAAAATTGCATATACATAAGAACACATTCAGCATGAAAATACATGTATTTGTATTGACATCTCAACCATAAAAAAACAAACATGTGCAACAACTAAACTCTCCATATAACACCTTACACATAACACTACTGTACTGGTAACACATGCATCACAGTCACTAAGCCCGCGCGTAGCGCGGGTTTCAGCTAGTACATTTTAAAAGTAGAAACAATTAAGAACCTATTTAAGAACCTTTTGAGCCTAATTTTTCAGTAAGCACCATTTATATAAGAACATGTTGAGGCTAACTTGGAAAAATCTATGTTCTTATACGCGGGTTTTTACTGTACTGTCATTAGGCCTACTGACGCACGAAGGGTCGTTGTCGTAACAGGTACTACAGATACAGGCCCGTAGCCAGGGGAGGTTCGGGGGGGTTCGAACGAACCCCCCCCCCCCGAGCCCCCCTCCCCAAGCCCAAAATTTTTTTTTTAAAATTGCAAGAATTTACCTCAGGCGCTCCATTTTAGTGTAATAATTGCAAAATCTCCAGTTCGTCCTGCGGGAGGCTGGTGAACACGTGAACACCCCACCTCCCACACCCTCCCCCCGCGCCGGGTCGCTTGGTCCCGCGCCTGGTCGCTTCGCGCCCGAGCAGGCGAGCCGTGTACAGGGGGGTCCAGGGAGCGCGAAACCCCCCCCCCTTGTTCAGCGCAGAAAACGCATCTGAGGGGTCTAATTTTAAAAATCTTCCCCAGGACCCCCCTTCGCGCTCGCAACTTTGGCTTACGGTTAGACCCCTCCCCCCCCCCCCGTACAAAATCCTGTACACGCCCCTGGCGAGAAGCAAATTGCACATTGAAAAAACGAAAACCCCCCCCAATATAAAGCTGCGCTACGGGCCTCAGATATGTACCCGAGCGTAAGTTTTAGGTTTGTTTAGCTATTATGGTTATATATTTTTATTATAAAGCGTATGTTAGGGTTGGTTAGAGTTAGTATAGGGTTAGGTTAGGGTATAGGTTAGGGTTAGGTACACTTCCTGTAGTACAAGTCTGGTATACTTTGTTTATACAATACTTATACATATATGCTACTCGTACATATCTGTAGTAACTGTTACGACAACACCCCTTGAGCCCTACTGCGCTGGATGAGGTCTATGTCCCCCGGGTACTGCGGAACGGTACCCTGCGTACGTCGGTATACCGGAACGTACCCTACGGTCTATCTAATATGCCGAACCGTACCTCGTCTACTCCACTAACGAGTCTAGGGAGTCGCCTACGCCTACTCCCTAACCCGAACCCGAACCCTAATCCTAACCCTAACCCTAACCTAGCTCTACTACTATAGCCCGCTTACATTAACTGCCGCTGCCAGCGGCAGTTAATGTAAGCGGGCTATAGTACTAGATCGAGCTAACCCTAACCCTAACCCTAATCCTAACCCTAACCATATCAAATAGTGACCAGGGTATACGTTCCGGTATACCGGACCGTACCCAGGGCACGTTCCGGCAGTACCCTGGGGGACATATAGACCCTATGACTATGAGCCTTACGCGCCAATGAGAACAGTTTTATGTAAGTGAGTTTCACCGAAGAAGCTGAAGGAGCAACTATAACCTGATTAGCTAAAACCCCTGTCTATAATAAGCCCATTCGTTCCGGTTCCGTTCCACTACACAGTGGTCTAGTACTAGTAGCCTAAAAGCAGAACTACAGTGTATTGCATTGCATGCATGTGTATGTTTAAAAACTCACTTAAAGGGACAGTAGCTTCTAGGATTTTACTGCATATAACTGTATTTACTGTATAACAAATCGTCTATACCCACACGTATTTGTTACCAGATACCTAATTTGATTGTTATAATTAATTACACATCAACGCTACGAAATTTGAACGGCGCCATGACACCCGTGACCGTGCTGCCACACTGAAAAAGTTGCGTATTTGCCAATTTATTTTGCACGTTACAGACTGAGGGCTAATCAGAAAGGTGCAATTATATTCATACCTAAATGCTATTTAACCGAACGATATTTATTTAAATAGGACAAATTTATCCATAATATAACTGAAACTATATGTCGTTTATAAGATATTACAATCCTTTTGCTTTTAAATTAATAAATAAGAAACATCCTCGGTCTGTAGCCCTTGGCTGGAAAGTGGTTTTGCGCAACTTATCAGATCGTGCACTTTGAGTGCATGGCGCCACCGTCGTTGTAATCAAACTGTAGTCGTTAGTTTTAAAACATTTTTTAATAATATTTCTAATGGTGATTGAACCATGAAACATTTTATGTAGCGTAATTTTAACCTAAATTAACTGAAAATAACCCTAGAACCTAGAGTAAACTATCCCTTTAAAAGTATGCACCAGAATGCACAATTTCAAGCTGAAAAATGCAAAAGCTCCGTGGTGTGGGAGGGCGCACCCCCTTCTTATAATCTATGCCCTCTCCCCGCTCGGTCGCTCCGCACCCTCGCATAATCTCACTCTCAATTCTAACTCAATGTTGGCAGCCCTGAGTTATTATATCTAATTTATCCTATTGATCAGAACAGGCCCTCGCCATTTATGTTCCACAAAGTCTGTTTAATTAGGTTTTCGATATTAGTTTGTGATATCTTTACCAGAGTAGCAAAACCAATGCGCATGTGCGGTTGCTGGAAATGTCAAATGCATGTGGAAACAGGCCTGTCTACAGGGCCGTAGCTAGCCGTGGGGTGGGGGCACGGGGGCAGTTGCCCCCCCCCCCCGCAGAAAAAAGTGGATACAATATATGGTCAAAGACGGTCATCTTTCATGTGCATGGCTTTGTCCCCCACCAGGAAAAATGGGTTAGCTACGCTTCTGGTCTGAATTTGTGACTGCATTGTAAATTTCTTCTTCTCTGGTTTTTGTTGGATATGTTCGAAGTATGCAATTTATATTGTGCATTTATCTTTCAGATTTATTTTGGGATCTGAGAAAGGACAAGGGATAACTGCACAGGTTGTCAGCCCAAACAGACGTCTTTTAGCTATCGCAGAGAAAGGAGAGAGACCCACTATCACCATTTATGACCTTATTACACTAAGAAAGCGTAAGTTAGACTAAGAATTAGGAAATTGAAAGCTGCTGATGATTTGTAAAATTAATAAATTCAATATTGGGTGCCATGCCAGGGGTCGAAATTATTTTTTTATTATGGTATCCATTCGGGATACCAAGTATTGAAATCTGGTATCCCCCCCAAAGATCTGGTATCCCGGATTTTTTGGATAGTAATTTCAACAATGTTGGTATCCAAAATCTTGAGTTCAAGTTCAAGCCGATGTGCCATGCAATGAACTGATGTCAGCAATGGTTTATTTTTTTCTAAGTCTCGCCAATTCCAGTGTTTACTCCCATGTTCACACTTGCACCATCGGCGCCGAATCCTACTATTTTGGCATACAGATTTGGGTCCGAAATGCCCCCGTACTCCTTCAGAGTCCGTTCGATTAGGTGCATAATATTTTCTGCATTCGCTTTTGCAATGTTTTGGAAAGCCAAAAACTTGGTGTTGACTTTTCCCTGGTTACAGTATCTGACGTACATGATCTCGGCTTCTGTTACTGACGAATCAGTGGATCCGTCGAACATCACACTATAAAATGGTGCTGCATTCAGTTCTTTTGACATATTAATGCGTTCATTCTCAGCAATGTAGGTAACAAATTTTCGTGCAGCCCTGTCATGTCGGTACGTTTCACCCAGATCCATTCCGTTAGCCTCTTCTAGGTCACATATCCAAACATAGTCAGTGAATGCTTTACCTTTTTTCGCAATGGAGTGAGAGATTCTGAACATTTTTTGTAATTTCCCAAACTCTTTGTCATTCAAACTCTTTAAAGCTTTTCCTGCCGGATTTGTGCCTGGAACTGCATATTCTGCCTTTTTCTTACCAAAACACTTTTTGTTCCCTTCACTCTTGTCATGCATCTGAAGTGCTTTAATGTGAAAATTCACACAGCCTTCCTTCACAAATTTACTGTCTTTATCTGCTAAGGCAATGTTGGTCAGACAAGAATTACAAAACATATTGCCATCTGTCAATGTCACCCAGGGAAATGATTTATTCCAGGATTCTTTGAACTTCCTTGCCCTTTTCGTTTGTTCATACCGGCGTTTTATCTCCTTTTCTCTTTTTTCTCTACACCTTTCTTTCCGCTGATTTACCACTGATTCTGGCCTTTCAACCTTGTCTATTGTCTCTTCCTCGTTGATAACAACAGGAGATGATGTTTGACGAGTATTTTTCAGCCAAGATTTTAACATTTTGTATAGGTTAGACACGATTCCGAAAGAGCAAAACATTAAAATGCCGTGATAAGAGCAAAAGGTAATTACTGAATGAAAAACAACAGGCCTGTGAGTGTGGTTAAAAAAACAGGAACAAATCTGAAGCAGCAAAGTGAGCGAAGCGCAGCCCTCTCCACAATGCACGCAATACCAGTGCTCAGCATATTTATAATTATCAGGAGTAGATAATAGGGAATTATTATAGGGGATTCCCTATTATCTACTCCTGACAATTATACTCCCGCGAGCGTCGCTCCCGCGTCTAATCATTAGTGGGCTGAGTGCATTCGCGAGCATTTCATTTTACCATAGATATATACCAAGAGCGTATAAAGAAGGTGCCAAGAGCGTGCCTTCTTTATCTGCTCTTGATACAACACAGGTGTTGTATATATCTATGATTTCACATACGCCTCCACAGTACACTGCAGACGTATTGTCTAGACGCATTGTCTGGCTCGCTTGATACAATCATGATACAATGTATACACATGTTCACATGATCATGTGTATACATCAATGTATACACATGATCACACATCAATGTATACATCATGCACATCACACATCACACATGCACATCACACATGCACATCACACATGCACATCAGACATCACACATGCACATCATGCACATCATACACATCATGATACACATCAATGTATACACATGATCAACATCGGCCACGCTTGCGCTTGCAAATATGCTATGCCTGCTGTATAAAAACGCTAGTGTGGCATAGTAAATTAGTAACTAAGGGCGCGCACTCGCGCTCTCGCACTTGCTCAGATGCGCTACGGTATAAAGTTGATAACTCAACAACCACTATCCCGATTATGACGATTTTTTTTTACTATCCCGGCGGGATACCAAGCATTGAAATCTGGTATCCCGCACAAGAATCCGCGGATATCGGGATACCGCTAATTTCGACCCCTGAATTCATGCATGTTTGTATACCCATACCACACAGGCCCATGCATGTTCCTGTTGCATCAGACTCGGACGTTATTAAAAGGGAGCTACATAGTGGAGCTAATGCAGAATTATCTTACTCTAGTTACTATAGACAATAGCCTTTATTGCTACATTTATCATATATCTCCACGTAGAAAAGAGGAAACTATTATGAAAATATATTTGATGTCTCAAGTGAATGATTTAAAATATAAATTCATTTTCATTCAATTAAATAAAACATGGTTATTTAAACAAAACAAAACAAGGTATTTCAAATATGTCTATTAAATACAACTCATGATAGAATGCATGGTTTATTGGTTTTTTATGCAGGAAAAATCCTTAATTGCCTGGATGTTCAGGGACAGGAGTGTGTGAGTCTAGCATTTTCTCATGATAGCAAGTTTTTGATTGCTCAGTGTAATCATCCAGACTGGACATTGGTGCTTTGGCAATGGGAGAAGGCTAGAGTACTAGGATCAATAAAAACATCCAAGTCAGATTCAATGTCGCCAGTTCATCAGGTGTGTATTACCATGATATTACCAAGTGAGAAATGATGGAGATCTCTTACATAATAGAAATCTCTATTATGGCATCCCTGGTATTACTGCATTTAGTTTCGCTGAGAGGGTCTACGTCCGCGAGGGTACTGCCGGAACGTACCCTGGTACTATCTAATATGCCGGACCGTACCTCGCCTACTCCACTAACGAGTCTAGGAAGTCGCCTACACCTACTCCCTAACCCTAACCCTAAGCCTAACCGTATCAGATAGTTACCAGGGTACGTTCCGGCAGTACCCTGGGGGACATAGACCCTATGAGCTTTAGTTTCTATTTGGGAAGAATGCCAAGATTTGATTCTAAACAAGATTGTATAATCCCCAAAATGTATCAGTAATATTAGTAATAAAATAAAATCATTCGAAGTTATTATGTAAATTATGGATAATGCAACAGAGAAGAAGGTGGGAGTGATAGGGGGATGTGCAAGAAGAAGATATTTTACATTGTTTCTGACCCGAACTGCACACCCTAGTTGTTCCTAGCCACCCATGAATGAAATGTAACACGGACGTATTGTCAGACAAGATGTTCCTGTTCAGTATGCGAATGGTGGTAATTAGCTTTATAAGAAACTCACAGATCTATATGAATACATGTATAACTAAAATAAGATCTGATAGCAACCCGCTCTATGAACTATCATAGTGCTCCACTTACCTTACTTCTTCCCAATGCGCATATACTCATTGATATGTGTATTTTTAATTAGACAGCCAGTTTTTGACTACGGTCAAGCTAATATTGGGATTTGATTTAATTAGGGTACTCTTGTACTCAACTCGCAAATATGGGAAAAAGTTACTGTAATTACATGATCATTAATTGGTTGCTTTGATCAGGTGGCGTTTAGTCCGTTTGACAACACACATATTGTAGTTGTTGGAGAAGGTATATTCAAGCTTTACAAGTTTACTGAGGGGAACATAAAGCAATGTCACCAGGCTAAAGCTTCTGAGCTACAGGTATTATGCCGTATTGCACACTTCATTTCCTTCAATTTGCTTTTGGGTGTCATTTTATCACGTGTTGTAAATAATAGGAATAAGTTGAACTTTAATTGTTAGATATTTGTAGACATGTTTAGTTATTAAATTTTTTATTTTCTTCTTTCTTTAACAACCCATGCACGTATGCATACACGCACACATGCGCTGACACACAGACCCGCACACAGACACGTGCACACGCACGCACGCACACACACGCACATGCATGCACAGGTGCATTCACGCACGCACGCACACACGGACACAGACACGCATGCACGTGCACACACAATTGGACAAAGGGAAGCCATGTATTAATTTCTAGACATTTGATACACTATGGGGCAGTTAAAAATTATTTAAAATTTGATTTTTTATTTATTCCTTTGATCTTTATGTACACATTTACCTTTTTGCAGAATTTCACAGCTCTGCACTGGAGTCCAGAGGATCGCATCATTGTAGGCACTGACAATGGCCGAGTAATGCTGTTTGAGGAAGGTGAACACAAGGCTGATTACTACATCTACAAGCCAGGCACAAACACTAAGTAAGTTGGTATAGTGATTATTACTTGAGACAATAATTGGGCCCAAAATTTTCATAATCTTTGAAAAACCATAAAAATACCATTGTTACAGTGATGCTATGCAGCAAACCTGACCTCATAAGGTATAGGAGCTCATTTCATAATTTTGATGTTAAAATTAAAAAAAGTGATTTTCAGTTGGAATTATAAAATATACTTCTCTAGTCACTTTCAAGTAATTATTGTTACTTGGCATTGTATGCTTGGAAGCTTCTATTTGAATTCTATTTGATTTCTACTTAGGAAAGATAATGATAAACATGAGCACATTACGTCAGAGTCACATCAAGGTAGCATACCTGCGAATATGTATAAAGTCACGAGCATTGCTACTTATTCCAAAGGCACCCGAATCGCCTGTGCCTGTGGTCAGGGCACTGTCCATCTTTTTGAAAGAGGCACTGAAACGAAAACGTTTTTTAAAAAAACGAAAGAAATCAAGGTGAGTTTGATTCATGTAGTGAGTAGCTTAATACTCGTTGCTTACTGCATGGCTCGAGATGTATATACCAGAAGTTATACACAGCATTCTTATTTAGTATTGAATGCATATTTAAATGAAAATGTTGTACTTGGAGAAACTGATAGTAATCCAGTTCCAGCTGAAAATGGAATCCATTCTATGATTAGACTGAACGTATACTGAGCTCATCGATCCTTTCTTATTTGCAAGTAAGAGATGATGGCAATATATTTAACAATAACCTAAGTAGTTGTCTGGTGAAAGCTGACCAGGCTTCTGTATGACTTGTATGTAGGTTCCAGAGCGCAGTCTGGTAGCAGAGGGCACTGAAGATGCAGAGCTAATTCTTACCCTTGCCATCAGTCCATCCGAGGAAACTCTAGTGGCCAGTACAGATAGAAACCAGATATTCTCCATGACACTCTCCAGTGCGGATTTAGGAACGGTGTGCTACTAATTTTCATTGTTTGGAAAACAGTGCTGGATATATTAACCTGTGTATAAACCCTATATAAAATGCTATAACTATTATCGCCCCTGTGATCGTCATTGCATCGTCATTGCATCGTCATTGTTGTCAGCTTAAATGTTATGATTTTTTTATCAATACCATTTTAGCACTAGTCATCAGGAGCATAGCTAACCCATATTGCCTGGGGGGGGGTAAAGCCACAGTGTGGCGTGCGTATTCTAGAAAGGTGACCACCATTGACCATAATGAATCTACATATTTCTGGGGGCAACTGCCCCCCCCCCCCTACTAGCTACGACCTTGGTCTTTATATGTGTGTGATTACATTATATAGCCATTAATTGTTAGTGATGTTCATTTATGATGATCTGAAGAGATCGCTTGTGTTTACAGCATAAGGAAGCTGTTAGGTTTGAGACGGCCAGCCAGCTGTTTCATTCGAACATCATAAGTGGTCTTGATGTGTGCATCAGGAAACCCTGGTTTGCCACTTGCTCAATGGACAAATCTATTCGCATATGGAACTTTGAAACTTGGTGAGAACATTTTTGCAAAAATGCTCAAGGTCCAAAGGTCTAGTACGTGTACCACGTTTAACAGCAATACTTGCACATGTGCAATTATTACAAGAATTTTACAACAATAATATTAATCATGATAACATCTTAAGCTACTAATTACTAATTAACTTTTCATAAACATATTGTGTTTGAAGCAAAACGTCCCCAACAGAGCTAATATGTTTTCTAGAATATATTTTTTCAGACCTGATATTCTTGGATGTCATCTTGCTGTTGTTACAAATTCATTAAAATTATCATTCTAGTTCACTGGAATTATACAAAGAGTTCCAGGAAGAGGTGTACAGTGTTGCGTTTCATCCATCAGGATTGTACATCCTGGCTGGCTTTAGCGATAAGGTCCGTTTGATGAATCTACTCATTGATGATATCAGAACGTTCAAGGAGTTCATGATCCGTGGCTGTCGGGAGGTAATTTATAATATTAGTCAACAGTACCATGTGCAATGCCGCAACTTGTGTTTATGCCAGATAATCAATTGTGGTGTATGAGTTGGCATGCTCGAGTTACAATTAGCATACTAATAATATATAGAAGGTTGCCTGGACTAAAAAATGGAGTTGGGAGATGGCTCTTATAACCGAAACAAAATGTTGTATTATAAAGGTTCACTTTGATTTTGTTACACAAACAAGCCTGCATACATGGCATGAAATTGTCTTACATTAACGACTTCGCAAGGATTCATGTGGTAGGTATATTGTTACCGCTCTTCTCACTTGGCAGTAATGCCCGTCTTCAATTTGTGTATCACAGTGCAGGTTCAGCAACGGAGGCCACTTGTTTGTCGCAGTACATGGCAATGTCATCCAGGTCTATTCGACAGTCACCTTTGAGAATGTTGCAAATCTGAAAGGCCACAATGGAAAAGTAGGTATTTAGTATTCATTAATAAAAAGAAGGAGACCCGGCATTACGGGCATCTCTGCCATCTCATGAACCCTGCGTGTAACCGTACCATGTACAGTTGTACAGTGGGGTCAGTAGTTTAAAAGGAGTTTGGAGGGCCACACACTTAACGTGCATACATCCAAATAAAAAAAAACCCCGGCTTATGAGACAATAGGGTTAGTTTGTGGAAATACATTGTTTCACAAATATGAAAACAGTCTAACCGTTTATAGAAGCTATTTATTAGTTGCTGTTAAAAACCTAGCTTATCAAAATTCATGCTTGCAAACTGCCAGTCTAATGGTAATCCTATAGACACACATTTAATTGTCAGCTGCGATTACAACGAGCTGAGCCATAATGCTCTCAATGCAAATAGGAATTGTACTGGACGAATGTATGTCTGTTTTGCGTGAATGTATGAAATTTGATGCTTGGACAGCAAATTTTAGCTGTGCTCCTGCTGTAAATTTCCCAGGTGAAGGTCGTAATCTGGACACTGGATGATTCTCGAATTATTTCATGTGGATGGGATGGTGCAGTTTATTCTTGGGACGTTTCCACAGGTATGTTTGCAACAACCTTGTATATTTTATCTTTATTTGACATTCTGTAGCTGTAACGTTGAGGAGTGTAATTTGTAAGTGGTTTACAAGATATAGTCTGTTAAAGTTATCTTATTTTCCTCTCAGTGTTCGGGTAGCAATGAATATTACATGATTTTCAACTCGTTGCATGAGAGTGCAAGTTTCATTAATCAAAGAAATATGTATATAATGGTTAGTTTAACCATGACTTACGACGAACTGTATGGTTAAATAAGAATGATCTATAAGTATTTTAACTATCATTTATATTAAAGTTATTTTTTAATCCACAGGGAAGCGGCTGGGTGAATGTGTGATTAAGTCATGTAGCTACAACAGTGTCTGCGTGGCCCCCGATGGCTTCACGACATTTGCTGTCGGATCTGATCAGAGCATTAAGGAGATAGCTTTAAAAAGTGCCACAGAATCACAGGTATGAACTAGAATTGTCTTTGCACGTAATTGTGTTACTTATTTAATGTGTGTACAAATCATGTCATGATAGTACTATTTTCAACAAAAATTTAACAACATCACATGAGTAAATGCACTGATGATGAATATATAGCAGTTCGACGATGAACATGGCTAACGAACAAGTATGGTGTTTACTCATACGTGACATAGGTGACACATGACGTCGACTCGAGAGGGACAACCTTGACGGCAGTGGCAACTGCGCATTCTGGCCGCATGCTGTTCAGTGGAAGTGCACAGGGAACACTTCAGTGCATGAAGTCAACAACGCAAGGCAACTTGGCTGTGCCGGGAGAGTGGCAGGAGCACCAGGCTCATAGTTCGCAAATAACTAGGGTGCGCTTAGCTTTCTTGAACCGTTCGTAATTTGTGGTCGGTTTACGATGACTAACATTCAGCAAGACGTACCTATGACCTCTTGTTTCCCAGGTAATTTTACTAGTTGCGCCGTATGTTCCAGATGGCAGTAACGTATGATGACCAGTTCCTGGTGACTGTGTCAGATGATGCATGCATCATCCTGTGGAAGGTAAGTGAGAGAGAGGGCAGAGCACTCATGAAGAGAGACAAAGACATCATTTACTCAGAGGAGATTCTCATAACTAAAAGCGACCTGGAGGAGAAGGTAGGATATAGCTAATTCAACCATTACTTTATAACTCAAGTTTACTTCAATACTTTATATTTCGAAAATTCCTTTCTTAAACTGTAGATTTTCAGTGACTGATAAAAGCAACTATTAGTACCAACAAGTAGTGTTATCACTCATGCCGGATTCCTAGGAAGCAGACATGACAATTCCTAATGCTTGTGCTTGATGGGTCGAACTTATGTATTTCCCAACCATATGCAGAATTCGCTGATGAGTGAGTTAAAGACTAGAGTAGAAGAACTTAAAATGGAGAACGAGTATCAACTGCGCCTCAAAGACATGAACTACAATGAAAAGTACAAGGACATGACCGACAAGTTTGTACTGGAGATGGAGGAGATAAAGAACAAGAGCAAGGTCACTGTCATGGTTACTTTAATTACTATTAAATTGATGGTATTGGCACAGTAATTTATATGGATGCTATGCAGATCTTGGCCAAACTTGATTATATATGGATCATAACCAGTACCAACGCTTTTGACATATCATATCATATGGCACTGAGTTAACATAAATCAGTGTAAAAACCATTAAGATCACTTACATTACACTTATCTCAAATGTGATGTTGAATTTATTAAACAACAGGCGCTGGAGTTAGCTAAGGAGAGACAGGAAGCCAGGCATGGAGAGCAGCTGCAGACCATTCAAGAATCTCATGCAACTGAACTTGAGCAATTGGGTGTGGTTGAATATCTTAATACACTGTCCTTTAATTACGTGAATAATTAAAGAGGTTTTAATGCACACTTTTTGTGTATAAAAATATGCATTATAGATAGACCGACATGTTCTTCCTTATCACAAGTAGTAACAATAAATAGATGGTTGTAAGATATATGCATAGTAGAATTTATAATACATAGTAGATGTCAGACAGCCTGCTGTATAGCAATGGTCATGCATCTATTATTCATAGTTTGGTTACCAAAGATATCTCATTGCAGCACGTGGCTCCAATCTTCTAGATACTCGGCTATTATTATACAGCTTATTCGTTTCTGTTAGTTGTTAGTTCATCCAAATGTCTAAAAATATATATCACCATATAAACCACTTCTATGAATGTAAGCACATATTGCAAGCTAGCTAATGAGTAAATAAATGTACACCATACATGTGATTAGTCACAAAATCAATAATGATATGGGTTCACTTGAGAATCGTAATGGAAATATTGCCCAGCTCTAGTATCAACGTAATTCACGGATCTAACCCGCTGTGAAAAGTCTGTAAAGGAGCCATGCAGGCGTTGCAAGGGTGTTCACTGTTAATGTGCAGCATAATTGACGTGATTAGAATTAGATACTAATCAATGCATTGTGTAAGTGCCTGCAAGGTGCTTCATGTATCCGTTGCTTAACCGAGGACGAGTTTGCATTGCGAACAGCATAGAAGGAGGTTTTGGTTACTGTCTCACTACCTGCTGCAGAGGCTGCTAACAACAAGAAGCTGATGATGGAGTACGAGAAGTACGAGGAGCTTCAGGCACGCATGCACAAGCTGCAGGAGGAGTTTGAAGTGCAGCTGAGAGAGGCAGGCGTCAGCAAGGAGAGAGCCTGCGAGGAGCTGACTGAATACTATGAAGCCAAGCTGCTCGACAAGTCTCAGCAGCTGGAGCAGGTGCGTACCTAGGCCATGCCAGCTAGCACTCTGCTGTTAGCTGGGATTTCCTGCGTTAAGCAGGTTCGAATTAAAAACTCGAAGCTCGTTGGTGTCTTGGAAATCACGACCTGTTGTCTAGTGATGCACAATGTTACATAACCCGTTTTCGTTTGTGTTTTACATTGTTTTATAAGTCGTGTACTAATGGCTTTCTAATATGTTATCTTAAATAAATTGAATCACAATTATTATTATTATCTTATATATGTTCAATTTTGCGATGGCAGTTTCAATTCAATTGAAGACTTCTCAATCACACCATATTCTAGGTAGTCCCTACGTCTCGTTCCACCCCATACCAGTTTGTTTGGCATCTGCCTTGGTCTCACATCTCCACTAAATGTGTGGGTCCCTCTCTTTTCCCTTGCTGGTTACAAGATTAGAATTGTCTTTTGATGTTTGGTGGAAAATCTTTGTTTTATGGTTGTTAGCTCATCTGACGTAGTCAGGTGCAGCTTGTAGAATCACATGATCGTCCGTCTGGCCGTCCGGCCGGCCGTCCGTGCATCCGTCAACAGTCGAAAGTCGGGACGTGGAGGGGTAATACGAAAACGAGTTGGGATGTCGAAGCTGGGGGGTCAAGAGGTGTAAAAAAAGGGGGAACATTCCCTCCTTAACTTAAGGTATAGGGAGGAAATGCAGAAATGCGGCACAAATCTAAACGGCTTGACCTAGGCTCGTGATAGTCGGTGTATAGCATCATGGTAGGAAAAGCCATCACTGTGCCGAAATTGGAGGTCACAGGTCAAAGGTCAATGGGGCACAGGGCAGATTTTAGACATTTTCTGAGGACATGGTCTGACAGAGCGATTGAAAAACTTTTTTGTTACAGCGGTGACCTACCATTTTTATGGCTTTATTGAAAGGACCATGAAATGTACTTTCCGCTGACATACGAAGAGTAAGTGTCGGATAACCTTTTGACCCTGAAGAGGAGGGTTAAACATGGATTTGTTTACTGTTAGAAATAATTTTACTGCCGGGTTTGCTAGTAGAATATATACATGCCTGGACGTATGAGGCTACAATGTCACAGTGAAATTTCAAAAGCTAAATTTGGTTGAAGAAGGTTTATGCTCCTTAAATCGTATAATTTCTATGGCATTCTGTACTGTCAGTGTGTTACATGGAACTTATGCCACTGCCAGTAGCCACTGCCAGTGCATGTGGTGGTGATAGTACTGTGTAGTTTTTACCTGCGTTAATTAGTTACAGGTGGCAGCTCTCTGTTTCAGCCTGTAGGCTTGCGTTGGTAAATGGATGAGTGCTTACCTATTCTGTCTTGCAAATAGTTGTTGCTACTACATATGATGGGAGCTTCCATCTTTAATCTTAAGACACTTAAACGTATGCGCCATCTCGTGGCAACTTTCATAACGATCCCAACGAACATTCCTTCGAGAAGGTTCCTGATACCATCCCTGTGCCTTCCACTGTTTCGGCACGTACGTATGTGAACACATTTGGGACTAACAGGGTTTACTAGAATCCCACCACTCCACCACAGAGTCACCGCAGTAGACGTGAGATGAGCGCTGTCGCTCCGCGGCACTTGTTTGAAGAAATCTGAAAGTGGTTGAGATTTTGCAAGTGTCTGCTTGATCACAGTGCATTTGAGACATTCCTATCTATTCCATACATAGGTGCACGAAGAGAGCAGGCAAAAGAACAAAGAATATGAAGAAACCAAGCGACAGATCGAGGAGGATGCTGACAGTGAAATACTAGACTTGAAAAACAAGTATGAGAGGAAGCTGCGTGAAGAGAAGGAAGCTAATCTCCGACTGAAGGGAGAGACAGGAATAATGAGGAAGAAGGCATGTGTCTCTGGCTGTCACGGATTATAATTTAAGAACAGTAGCTATGAAGAAACGCAATGAAACTGGTACGCTATGCGTTTGTAAATATTATTTGTACGTTCCAGTTCACCAGCCTTCAGAAGGAGATAGACGACCATAAAGCCGAGATCACTAAGTTGCAGACAGAACAGGGGAAACTGCTGGGTGTCATCAGGTCTCTGGAGAAGGACATTGTGGGACTGCATAGGCAAATCCAAGAGCGGGATGAGACCATCCAGGACAAAGAGAAAAGGATCTATGACTTAAAGAAGAAGAATCAGGTATAAAGTGAATTAAAATTTAAATCAGATTGCTGAAAACATCTCATCGTGTATATGCAAATGTGCAGATTTTCAAAATATAAATATTTGTTCAGTATATATTAGCCACTTTATTAGCCAAATAGTTCATCCCTATCAGTCTGATAATGGCTAAGGCAAGTGAAGATTTTGTGAGGTAGTACTACAGTTGGACAGGTTTTACAGTATACTGATCAGCAGTATTATATTCTCTCTACAGGAGCTGGAAAAATTCAAGTTTGTCTTGGACTATAAAATTAAAGAATTGAAGAAACAGATTGAGCCGAGGGAGAATGAAGTGAAGGAGATGAAGGAACAAATACAGGCCGTATGTGATTTGTGCTTTAACATCAGGGAAACTCATTATAGAAAAATGGGATGTAGTTAAAAAATGTTAATCTGTACCATTACCCAAAGTAAATATTGTGTTAATTTAATCAACTTCAATTTCGACCTATACGTACGTACTAGATAGTTATTCAATGTTTGTCTGTTCTTGTATGCCTTTGTCGATATTTAGTTGTTGTCTTCTAGATGGAGGGCGAACTGGAGAGATTCCACAAGCTGAACACACAGCTGGACCTGAACGTGACAGAGCTTAGACAGAAATTACGAGCGGTGGATCGTGAGCTGAGCTCCGAAAGACAGACGGTAGAGTTTCAACTCCTTTCTGCAATAAAATTTCGTAAAAATATATCCTTAATCATAAATTCATGTAAAATTTTGTGACGGGGTGTACAGTAACAGGATTTTCGTGGATCTTTGCTTACCTTTAGGTACAAGACTTGGGTGCGATGATGAAGAGATTTAGAACAGACCTCCATAACTGCGTTGGATACATCCAAGAACCAAAGAAGCTGAAAGAATGTCTAAAAATTCTGTATCAGAAACATGTGCAACAGGACAAGGTATTTATTAGCTCATCTGACATAGTCAGATGCAGCTTGTAGAATCGCATGATCGTCCGTG